TGGCTGCTGTTCGTGGCGGCGCGGCTGTGCAGGAGGGCCAGGGCGGCCTCGCTGGGGGGCTGCTCGGTGCCCGAGGGCCCCTTCCCGGGCCACCTGCTGGACGTCAGCGGCACTGGGACCCTGTCCCACAGCTACCAGTATGAGGTGTGTCTGAGGGGAGACTCTGGCACCAGTGATTTCAAGTTTTTGAAGCCGATTATCCCCAGCTTCCTTGCTGAAGGTGTGGAGAGGGTTAGTGAGGCCAACCCCAGTGTCAGGAATAGCTTTGAATTCAATTAAGTATTAATATGTGAAGGGAAGTTTCGCTCCCAGGACTGGCAGTTGAACCAGTAGATGTTCAGCCAATTCTCAGAGACCTCAGTTTTGGCTTTCTCATTGATTTTGGTACAGATTTAATTATGATTAAATCCCATTTCCATTTTTTTTGGTTGTATCCTTTAAATTTTACTAAGGGTCTTCTGATAAGGCTCAACCAAGTACCTTGGGTCTGAGGGATCTCAATTATGGCTTAATCATTTAGTCTTGCACTTGAGCTCTTTAATTATTATTAAATTTAACCCCTTTTAATTTTTTTAAAAAAATATTGCTAAGGGTCTTACTAAACTTAGTCTCTGATAATATTTGGAAAGTCTTTTTTTTTTCTGCTTTGCCCATTGGAGATTTCTCTTTATTTGAAAATGAATATCTTATTTCAATTCTGTGCATGTTATTGGTATTTCTAAATGTGTGAGGGATTTGTGGCATAATGTGTGTTAGTTTTCTTGTATTTTGAATAGTTTTGATGTAAATTAATTCAATTTCAAGTGTGTATGCAAATTTTTTTCTTTTTTTGCAGAGGTTTTTGCTATAGGGTGCATGTGCTTGCCAGGAAGACAGAGAGAGACAGAGAGACAGGAAGCAAGAAATCACACACACACACCCTGGCAGGGGTGATGGCCATGCTGCAATCCCTTCTCCATTCTCCTCTCGGGATCTTGGGAATGCATGCACAGGTGCCTGGCATGAGTTTAAGCCACCAGGTCCAGGACCTGAACCACGGTTGACTACATGGGAGTCCAGCAACATAGCCATTACGCCAACTGCTGGTTCCCAAATTTTGCTCTTATAAGAAGTCTTTCATTTTTATGTTAAAGCATTTTTTTCCTAACTAATTTCCCAGTTCCTAGGTAATCTGAAGTCCTACATTTTTAAAACGTTCCCTATCATTTTTTTCTAGCCCAGGACATTTGTGTTTTCTATATCCTCTTAGTCGAGTGTAACTTTTACCCTGTGAGCTCACATTGGCTAAACTACTAATATAGGCATGTTCATGAACAATGGCACCCTCCCCATGTTTATCTCAATGTGTATCTTTTAATGTGTCAACATATGAAAACTATGACTTTTTTTAGCACTTGTGAGAGCCTTAACTCTCTGGTTGTACAAAACTTTCCCATTATGTATTAGCGTTCAATGAATTTTGGTCAATAATCACTCTTTACTATTCTAAGACATAGTTAATTTTTTGTCTAGTGCTTTTCAAAATCATGCTGATTTTTCATGTTTTCTATTTTTTTAAAAAAAGTGTTGGAAAAACCCTCTGCTTATTCCAACCTCCTTTTAAAATCTTAGTGTTTCTCTCTCTTTCTCTCTCTTTTTAAAACTGCTATAGTGTGTTGTCACCAGTGAGAGTCAGAGAGAGGGTAAGTGAAGAAGCACCTTGGTGGGCGAGTGTTGGGAGGGGGATGGCCACACCACAGTCCCTTCTCCTCCATTCCCCTCTTGGGGTTTTGGGCATGTATAGCCTCGTGTGTTTCTTAAGATGCCAGTTCCAAAACTTTAAGAGTGTAGTCAGCCATGTGAGTTCTAGCATTTCAACCACCTGTGGCGGGGGGCGGGGAGTGGAGGGCTCTCAATATTAATTATAAAAGCCTTCTAGTGGGGCCAGTATGTGGAAAGTTGGTTAAGGCACTGAACTCCTACCCCAGAACCAGTGACTTGAAATTTATGCCAGGGACGTGCATGTGCATGCCCAACATCTGGAGAGAATGGATTGTGGTATGGCCATCCCTGCTGGTGAGTGAGTGATTTTTCATTTTCTTTTTTTCCTTCTCTCTCTCTATCTCTTCAGGAGCATGCCCATCCTATAGCAAAAATCTCTCAAAAACAAACAAAAAAGCCAGCTACTAAAGCTGAGCAATTTGTTAAGTTTCAAAAGTTAGGGAAGACAGGGGCCAGCAGGTGGCGTGGTGGTTGAGGTCACTGGACTCCCACGTGACTGACCATAGTTTGAGTCTTGGGCTTGGCAGCTTGTTTTCTCACTTTCCTTCTCTCTCTCTTTCTCTCTCTCTCTCTGGTCAAATTTAAATAAATAAATAAAGTTAAATAAGATAATTACTTTTTAAAAAATAGGGAATACATATGTCTTTGTCCTTGATTAGATTTTACAAACTTCAAATGGAGCCTGGCACTGCATTTTTTCAAAGTTTTCTGGAGTGCTTAGGATTCAATTAGAAATAAACCTATGGGAGAATAAATGTATCTAAGATCATTTACTTTGTTATTGCACTACTTAGTTCTATTTTCCCCATCCATTCATCTAGACTAAAAAAAGATGCTTGAATTATGTTTCTTAACAACTGTTCCCCCCTTTTCTTTTCTTTTCTTTCTTTCTTTTTTTTTTCATGATTAGCACAGTTACTGAGACATTGTAGTTTCTTTCTCTTTTTTTTTTTTGACAGGTTTTTTGTTTGTTTGTTTGTTTTTTTGTTGTAAGATGCCTATGCTTGCCAGAAAGACAGAGAGAGACAGAGAGACAGAAAACGAGAAATCATCCCCTAGGGGGATGGCCACGCTGCAATTCCCTTCTCCTCCATTCTCTCAGGATCTTGGGCATAGCACACACGTGCTCGATGTGCATTTAAGTTGCCAGGTCCGGGACTTGAACTACGCTCAACTACATGGGAGTCCAGCGACCTAGCCATTATGCTAACTGCTGGTCCCACATTGGAGTTTCTCAATAAATTTTTTGAATGACTGTTTGAAAGAAAGAAGAGTATGTCCCCTGCAATATATTGATTTATAAATAAACTAAGATAGCTAAAGAACAAATATTTCCATCAGGGAATTAAATAATCCCTGATGTACAATGAATTATATATATTTTTGTTACTAATGTAGCTTCTCACCATTATTCAAACATGCAGTTACCAGTCCCTGGTGTCTCTCTTCTTCAACATATTTTTTTCTTTTCTTTTTTTCCCTCTTTTTGCTTAACATGAGTCTCCTCTCTTGTCTTCTGGCTTAAGGAATACAGATGGGAATGTGGTTTCTATTTTAAAATTTAATTTTGTATAGTCCCTAAAAGATTTATCCAACTTTCTTGCAGTTATATTTCTGACTCATAAGTTAAAGCAAATTTCATTCTTAATATTTTCAACCTATCTTTAAATTTCCATATCATGTTAGGTATATTTAAGTGAGACATACTATTAAAATTATAATATGGTTTTTAAAGGTCTTATTTTGAGATTAACAATGATGTAGAGCTCTATCTTGGTACCAAAAGTCTTATCAGTTGTGACCAGCAAATGATGTGGGGGTTAAGGTGACTGGCTCCCACAGGGCCAACTGCATGGTTTGAGTCCCTGACCTGGTGGCTTGAAAAATATGTTTGGCGGGAGTTTGTGCATGCCCAGAATCCCAAGAGGGGAATGGAGGAGAAAGGATTGCCAGAGTGGCCATCACCTCTTGGGGGGGGGTTATTTCTCACTTCCCCCTCTCTCTGTCTCTCTTTGGCAGGCACATGTGCCCTATAGCAAAGATAAAAATTAATTTAATTAACTATAAATAAGTCTGATTAATCATCTTATTACTTGTACAGTCTTGGATAAGTTACATAATTTCTGTAGTTGTGACCAGTTAATTTAATAAGAAAAATTTAAATAATTCATTATATATCCAAGATCACTATTATTAAGAGTCATCTTAGGACCAGGAGGTGGCATAATAGTTACATTGCTAGACTCTCATGTGGTCAACTGCAGTTCGAGTCCCAGACCCAGTGGCTTCAAACTCACTCTGGGCATGTGTGCCTGCGTTCCCAAGAACCCTAGAGGAGAATAGAAAGGAGATATTGTGGTATGGCCATCCCCTTAGGCAGTGACTTCTCTTCTTCTGTCTCTCTGTCTCTCTCTGTCTCTCCAGCAAGCTCACATGCCCTGTAGCAAAAATCTCTCTTAGAAAAAAGATTAATCTTGGGGACCAGTAAGTGATGTGGTGGTTAAAGGTACTGGTCTCCCACATCAACGAGGGCATTTCAAGTCCCAGACTTGCGTCTTGCTTTCTCACATTCCCTTCCTCTCTGTCTCTGGCTCTCTATGGGCTAATTAAAAACACAGTGATAATAATAAATAAGGTTAAATAAAAGAATTCTTTAAGAAATGAAAAGAGTAATCATAATAGATGACAAGTCAACACTTAACATTCCTGATAACTGTGTAAAAATACAAAAGACAATAGATTGAACACGTGAAACTTGCATTACTTCATTGCTCTGCCCATAAACTTACACTGACTTTTTCCCCCTCACAACCACCCAGTGTTCTCTTTCCACTTACCCTTAACATACCAAGTTCTTTGTATACCCTACTTCTTTCATTATATAAAATAGCTATGATTTACTCTCCTGAGGCCTTCACATATGCTACGGTCTTAGCCTGGCGAACTGCTTCTCATCCATGCTGTTCCAGGCACATCTGTGCAGAAGCTTCTTACGTCCTCAACTAAGTGAGGTCCCCCGATTGCATACTTCCAGTACATTCAGTAGGTTTCCTATATAGCACTTTTCACACCGTTTGGACATCTGTTTAAAGTCTGTGCACCCCATGGGGTGGAAAACAGCTGAGATGTATATACATCGTCTATGTCTATTATTGCCCAAACTAAATAATTAGCTTGGGAAACAATACAGATGAAATTAATAATTGTAAAATTAGTATGATGTAAGAAGGGGAGAAAGCACTTGAGGTATTCTTTTAGTATGAAAAGATATAAGGAAGTAGATCTCTTTGGATCTACCTTCTTATACAGTGTATTACAATTTTTTGCCTCCATGCAAGAGATTGTCTTTTCATTGCCTTTTTCATACTATAAATGCAAATGATACACATTTTTCAAAATGTTGAAAATAAATTTAAAATTGGATAGTAAAACATGTTATAATTTAGAGCTAAACCTTTTAAAATGTGTGTGTAATAATTACACCTGGGGTAAGTAGCCTAGCATGTGTATACTTCTGAAAAATCATGTAAATAAACCTCTCTAAAGGACAACCATTTCTTTTAAATAAGAAAGAATTTAATTGACCTAAGTCGTATTTATTTAACTTGTTTTATACAAAATGGCCCTCTAGTAGCGTCCACTGGAAAAATAAGCAAAATATATCAATATGATAAAACCAAACAAAAACACTTAACTCCAAGATTTTGGAACTTCGAACGAACGCATGGTGGCGCTGTTGACTAAGAAGGCAAATTAAACCACGGGCATTGTACGGCATCAGTGACGCACGGATCCAGGGCGGCGAACAAGGGATTGTGAGCCCAGGCAGACTTTAAGCAGATCTGAGACTCTGGCAAAAAATGCCCCCTAGGACGCCTGCAAAAGATTGGGGTGGAAGAGGACACCGGACTGCGTTTTCCAGCGCCGTCTGAGGCTCAGCTTGGCGATATTCCTTGAAATAACAGGGCTGGAAGAGCAATGGAGGCCAGAGGAAAGCGCTTTCCTAGACAAAGGCAAGTCCTGCTTCTCTTTGTTTTTCTGGGTGGGTCTCTGGCTGGGTCGGAGTCCAGACGGTATTATGTGGATGAGGAAAAGGAGAAGGGTTTTTTAATAGCGAACCTAGTAAAAGATCTGGGGCTGACGGTAGGAGAACTGGCTGCAAGGGAGATCCAAGTTGTGACCAACGGGAACAAATATTTTCAGCTCAATCATGAGACAGGTGATTTGATACTGAATGAGAAATTGGACCGAGAGGAGCTATGCGGCCCCACAGAACCATGTATACTGCATTTTCAGATAATACTGCAAGATCCATTGCAGATTGTCACAAAAGAGCTCCAGGTCATGGATGTAAATGACCACCCACCAGTATTCTTTGAAAATGAAATGCAGCTGAAAATCCTAGAAAGCACTCCACCAGGAACAATAATTCCTTTGGGAAATGCTGAGGATGTGGACGTGGGAAGAAACGGTCTCCAAAACTACACACTCGCTCCTAATTCTTATTTCCACGTAGTCACACGCAGTCGCAGGGACGGAAGGAAGTACCCAGAACTAGTGCTGGACAAAGCGCTGGATCGGGAGCAGCAGCCTGAGCTCAGTTTAACACTCACAGCGCTGGATGGCGGCTCTCCACCACGCTCTGGGACCGCCCAGATCAACATCCTGGTCTTAGACATAAATGACAATGCTCCAGAATTTGAGCAGACGCTCTATGAGGTTCAAATCCTTGAGAACAGCCCCATTAACTCCGTCATTGTCACTGTCTCTGCTTCGGATTTAGATGCAGGAACTTTTGGGACAGTATCTTATGCCTTTTTTCATCCTTCTGAAGAAATTCTCAAAACTTTCCATCTCAATCCCATTACTGGTGCCATGCACCTAGTCAAATATTTGAATTTTGAAGAGATTAATAGTTATGAAATTGATATTGAAGCCAAAGATGGAGGAGGCCTTTCAGGAAAATCTACAGTCATAGTTCAGGTGGTTGATGTGAATGACAACCCACCAGAACTGAGTTTGTCTTCAGTTAACAGTCCTATCCCGGAGAACTCAGGACAGACTGTGGTGGCTGTTTTCAGCGTTTCTGATCTAGACTCTGGAGACAATGGAAGAGTGATGTGTTCCATCCAGAACGACCTGCCCTTCGTCCTGAAACCATCTGTGGAGAATTTTTACACCTTAATGTCTGAAGGACCTCTGGACAGAGAGAGCCAAGCCGAGTACAACATCACCATCACTGTCACCGACCTGGGGACACCCAGGCTGACCACAGAGCACAGCATAACAGTGCTGGTCTCCGACGTCAACGACAACGCCCCCGCCTTCACCCAGGCCTCCTACACCCTGCTGGTCCGCGAGAACAACAGCCCCGCCCTGCACATCGGAACCATCAGCGCCACAGACGCAGACGCGGGCACCAACGCCCAGGTCACCTACTCGCTGCTGCCGCCCCACGACCCGCAGCTGGCCCTGGCCTCGCTGGTGTCCATCAACGCCGACAACGGCCAGCTGTTCGCGCTCAGGTCGCTGGACTACGAGGCCCTGCGCGCCTTCGAGTTCGGCGTGCGCGCGGCAGACCGCGGCTCGCCCGCGCTCAGCAGCCAGGCGCTGGTGCGCGTGCTGGTGCTGGACGCCAACGACA